TATTATTCCATCAAAAATAATTTTTCCACCTAATCAGGAGTTAGGACAAAACTTCTTATTTGATAAAAATTACCTCCAAAAAATAGTTAAATGTTGTCTGATTGAAGCTAACACTGTGGTAATTGAAATTGGTAGTGGTTATGGTAGTTTAACTAATTTATTAGCCAAGACTGATAGCCAAAAAGTTGTAAGTCTCGAAAAGGACCACAAACTATTTCAGTGATTAGAAGCCAACAATAAAAATGACAAAATTGTTTATCTTTGCCAAGATGCTTTACAAGTTAATTGGTTCGAGTTTTGCTCCCAATATAGGAATAATTCCTTAATAATTGTTGGTAATTTGCCTTACTACATAACTAATTCACTAATAGTTAATTTATTGTTTGATTACTATTTATTTAAATCCTTAGTTTTTTTAATTCAAAAAGAAGTCGGACAAAAATGGGTTTCTAGTCCTAGCAAGTATTCTTCTAAATATTCGGCCTTGTCGGTTTTTATTAATTATTTGGCTGAGACGAAAATTGTTTTTGAAGTTCCGCGGGGAGTTTTTATTCCTTCTCCTTCGGTGGATGGAGTGTTAGTAATGATTAACCCTTACCGGGATATTAATTTGCCAAAAGAGCAATTAACCTCTTTTTTGCGTTTTTTAAAAAATTGTTTTCGCTTTCGGCGAAAAACTCTCTTAAATAATCTAAGTGGTTTTGCGGGAAATTGAGAAAAGGAATGAAAAAAATACTTTCTAGAAAAGGGATATGCGGACAAGATTCGCCCGCAAAATCTAACTCCGTCCGAATATTTTCAATTATTTCTTTTTTGGCAAGGTCTTTCCTCCACAAAAAACAAAAATTAATTAAATGTATAATAATGATTTGTGAAAAGAATTTTATTTAGATAGAATTGACCCTGGTTGAGAAAATTTTTTTCAACAAGAATCTCAGAAAAGTTATTTTTTTCCTCTCTTATCCAAACTTGCGGAAGAGTATAAAAATTATAAGTGCTGACCAAGAAAAGAAAATATTTTTCGTCTCTTTCGGAAAATTTCTCCGGATAAAATAAAAGTGGTAATCTTAGGTCAAGACCCTTATCATTTGCCAGAAGTAGCGGACGGTCTGGCTTTTAGTACGCAGAAACCTAATTATATTCCGGCTAGTTTAAGGAATATTTTTTTGGAATTTAGCCGAGACCTGAACTGTACTCCTCCTAGCAAGGGCGATTTACTACCCTGGGTTAAAGAAGGTGTTTTTTTAGTTAATACTGCTCTAACGGTAAAGGACGGTCAGGCTCTTTCTCATATGAAATGGTGAGAAGAGTTTATTTTTTCTCTGCTAACTTACCTAAAAAACTATAATGAAAAATTAATCTGAGTTTTCTGAGGACAAAAAGCCCGAAAAATCGGTGAAGAGTGCCAAATTAGCGCTGATTACAGTTTAATTAGCGTCCATCCTTCTCCTTATAGTGCCGAGCGATTTTTTGGTTCCCGACCCTTTTCAAAGGTCAATAAATTATTATCAGAAATGGGTAAGGAACCGGTTAATTGGCTGTCTATTCTCAAACCAACTTTGGAAAAATCTGACTAATTTCTTTTTTTTCTTTTTACAACTAATCCAATCACTAACCCAACTATTAAAGCGACTGCTACGGATAATCCTATTGCCAGTGCGCTATTATTATCATCCTTGCTCTTGTTCGTCGACGCGGAAGTTTTATTAGAATTAATAAGATTATTTAATTCTTGCTGACTTAAACTATTTTTGCCATTCCTTTGACAGTAATTTTTAACAGTTTGAAGTTCCTGATTAGTATTTATTTGCTCGGTAGTTATGGTTCGAGAAAGTGATTTATCACTGTTATTTTCGGGTTGGTTAAACTCAATAATTAAATCGCCATCTGAAGTTAAAGTTATTTTTTTAATGTCTTTCAAATTGATAACCAAAAACTCGCTACTTCTTTGATTCCCCTCACTAGACGATTTGACTGGTTGCGGAGAATTGTTTTCATTTATTATTAACTTTACTGGTTTTGACCAGTTGTCATTCTTATCGTCATTTTCTAAGTAATTTTTATCATTTTCTTGGGCGTGTTTGTTGTTTTCAATAATGCTTTGGGGCGTGCCTTTTTCATTTCCTTCAATCGAAGTATTAGTGTTTTCTACTGACGTTTTTGGTTTATCATTTGCTTCATTAGAAATCCTTTCTTGGTTTTTTCTGCCTGACTTATTCTTACATTGGGGAGCCGAAGCCTCACAGCAAGCACTACTACAATAAAATGTTCCGCACGGAGCACAATAATAAGTGGTTTCACCTGTGAATAATTTTCCACAATAATCGCAATTTCTTGTTCCTTCTTTCTTGTCAACTCGTTCGTCTCGTTTGTTCGAACCCGGTTTTATTTTCTCATATTGTTGTTGAGCGTCATAATAACCAGGGCGGGCTGTATTCGAATATTTATCTCAGCATTGTGGGCAACATCTTACTGCTCAGGAACCACTAGGATTATCCTCTGTGTCCTCGTGGTATGATCACACATAGCGCTCTTCCTCCCGACCACAATGGTAGCAAAAGTTAGCACACTTACAGCATAACTCCTCGCCATTGCGACCTTTAAAGGGAGAAATTCCATAAAATAACCCGTAACTATCAGTTTGTTCGCTTTTTATTCATCTAAACTCGGGCTTTTTTCCACATTTACATGCCAAAAATTTTTTTTGATCATCACTTAAATTGTTTAATTGGTCTTGATTTATATATTTAAATGTTCCACTTTTATATACTCAATTTATGTTGTTGTTTATTATATTCATATTATAATTACTTGTTTATTTCTTTTGCTTGGATTTAGCCTCACCAAGCCTTAGCCTAATTGCTCTTAGTTGCCAACAGTTAATGTTCTAATTAGTAGCAATTAGTTAAAAATCCAACTAGAACATTTTTTATCTCTTTTTGCTGGAAAGATAAAAAAATCGCCAAGGAACGTTCACTTAGCAAAAAAAAAAAAAAAAAAAAAACAGTTATTTTTTTACTTCCTAATTACCGGATATTAGCAAGTGGGATAAATAAGAACCCTTAAGCGCATTTCGTATTTTTATTGCTTTACTTTGTCATCAATATTATTTTATAGACTTTTACTCATGACCTTGTCATCAATTTATGTTATTGATTATGAGGAGTAGGAATTCGTGCATTTGTTGCGCTCTTAGCAATCATTTCTACAGCAGCTATCAGATTCTGGTTTACTTCCTTCTTCTCTATGTACTCCCGCAATTGTTTTATTTCAGTGTTTTTTTCTTTTAATATCCTTTCAAGGGTATCTACTTTTTTTTTAGCCATTTCAAGTTCTTTTTCCACCGTAACATCTTTTTCCATTCCCATTCCGGCTTCTACCACCCCCATTCCAATTCCAGCACCGACACCGGAGCCAAGTTCAATTTTAACTCCAATCGCACCTTCTCTTTCAGTATTATTTTTAATACCTCTTGATTTAAGTCATGCTTCATATTCTAAATCGTTGTGAATAGTATAAGGTTGCATATGTCTAATAATGCTATTATTACCAACTTCTTCTATGCCCGTAGGTATAACTCCATGTATCCCCAATTTACTTAATTCTAGTTGCCGTTTAAGTTCTTGAATCTCATTTTCTTTAATTTCAATTTCACTTTTTAACTCTTCGAGACTTTCTTTAATATCTCTGCTATTTTTATTTCCATTTTCTACGTCTTTAATTAATTTATTTATTTTTTCTTCGATTGTTACCATTTTTATATTTTATATAATTTTTCTATCATTCTCACCTCTTAATTATCATAATTTCTAATTTGTTATAAAGATTTAATTCTTTATATTATAATTTTATTAATTTACTATTCAACTAATTAAATAAAGGATAAAATTATATTAAAATAAAATCTCTACTGTTGTCCTTTATGCATTAAGGATTCTGGTTTAAGCAATTTAGTCAAGTTTAGGCTGTTGTAAATTTTAAAACTAACTTATAGAAAGAATGTTAAAAAAAGAAGTTGATTATAGTTATTGTTTATTAAAAAAGCCAATAACTGTTAACAAAATCTCTATTAAAGAAATCTATATTGACCCTTATTGAAAGAAACACTAAGAGGAAGGCATTAGTGAAGAACTAATTATCGAATTAGTAAAACTATTAGACACTAAAAGGTCGGAAGTTGGAAAAAGATGTGATAACTGAGTGTATTACGCTGAAGAACCGTTATTTTTTGATGATAAAGCCTATTGTCTAGTCTGATGTTTAGAAGACGGCAAAAATTATTTAGAAGTAATTGATTGCTATCGCGAAAGTAATTATGAAAAATCCACAAGAAAAATTAACTATGAAAAGTAAAAAAAATAGTCCACCCAAAAAAGTAGTAGACAGCATTAGAAAGGAAATGACTAATCCTAATTTTCCTTACAAAAACATTAATTTAAGACCAGATGCTGCTCCTTTAGAAAAAAATAAGTATGACATTTGCCAAAGAATACTGGCTTATAAGCAAGATAATAAATTAACTACCGAAAAGATTGCCAAAAGCATCCAACTAACTCCTCCCGAAACTGAGGATATTTTTTTTGGTCGAATTGATAAGTTTACCCTTGATAGATTAATGGATTATGCTACCAGATTAGGGATTGTTTTGCAGATAAAAGAAGAAACAAATTCTTCCTCGCTAAATCAAACCCAGCGAAATATTTTTGCTTCTCGCAAAACTAATAGTCGCTCAAAAAAACATCTTTAACAAAATTTTTTATTGATAGGCAATATCTCCTAATCTCCTGTTTAATTGACGAAAGCCGTACTGGAATAAATTAATGGTTTCTCAAAAAAAGGCTTCTTGGGGTTCTTGGGGCAAGTAGACTCTCGCATTAACCAGCGTGCGGATTCTGTTTAAAGATTCTAAATATTCTGACCAAAAGTTATCTATTTCTTTCACTAGTCTCGCTTTTAAATATTCTTGCTCGATTGGTACAATTTCCCCTTTGGCTTTTTTGTTCTTTTTTTTAATCATTTTTGCTAAGTCATCTGTGCCTAACAACTTATTGCGGTAATTATAAATGAACTGTCTTTGCCGATTAATAAGCAAGTCATAATTAAGGTGATATTGCCGATTAGAAGCCTGGACATTCCGCAAAGTTTCTTGGGGCTCAGAAATGAGATAGTTAAATATCTTTCCGCTTAATGGACGGCGGAAAAGTTCTTTTAGTTGTTTTTGGCTAAAAATTTTTCCTACTTGCTCTTTAACTCCAAAATTTTTTATTAATTCATCCTCTAAGGAGACATAAAATCGACTTTCGCCAGGGTCGCCTTGTCTTCCGGAACGGCCTCGTAATTGATTATCAATTCGTCGGGCTGTGTTTCGCTCTACTCCAATTACCAGCAAACCACCTGCTTTTCGGCTTTCTTCACTCAAAACAATATCCGTGCCCCGCCCAGCCATGTTGGTAGAAATAGTAATGGCACCTAATTGTCCGGCTTGGGCGACAATTTCCGCCTCCTGTTGGTGATTAACTGCGTTTAATTTGTAATGAAATATTTTTTCTTTAACCAACAAAGAGGACAAGTATTCCGAAATTTCCACACTGGGTGAGCCAATTAAAATTGGTCTTTTTTTGGTTTGGCTGTTTTTCTTGATTAATTTGATAATGGCTTTATATTTGTTCTCTTTGTCCCAAAAAATTAGATCATTCCGGTCTTTACGAATTAATTTGCGGTAGGGAGGAATGGTGATAACTTCCATGCCGTAAACTTGTCGAAATTCTTCGGCTTCACTCTTAGCCGTTCCGGTCATGCCTGATAATTTATCAAAGAGACGGAAAAAGTTTTGGTAGGTAATAGTCGCGATAGTCTTGCTTTTAGTGCTAACGGGCAGGTTTTCCTTGCTCTCAATAGCTTGATGAATACCCGAACTGTATACTCGGTTCGGCACTAAGCGGCCAGTTAAAGCGTCAATCAGTACTAACTTTTGCTCTTCCTGGTCGACTATGTACTCGATATCCTTATGGTAAAAATGCTTGGCTTTTAGGGCATTATGGAGTAAAAAATTATAGCGGTGATTTCGGAAGGAGAAAAGATTGTCTAATTGCCAAAACTTTTCACTTTTTTTAATTCCCTTGGCCGTTAACCAGACATCGTTTTCTTTTTTGTCAACTTTGTAATCTTTCTTTTCTATCAGAGAATTGGCTAATTTAGTGGCTAATTGATATTCGGCTGGACTAATAACATTTTCGCCTTGGGCTCGTTGGGAAATGATGAGCGGATTAGTGCATTCATCAATAAAAAGTGAATCAATTTCATCAGCAATCGCATAATAATAGTCTTGTTTTCTTTTTTCCTCAATGTTAGTAATTAAATTATTTCGCAAATAATCAAATCCCAATTCACTACCAGTGGTATATATAACCGTGCAGTCACCATACAATCGTTTTTTTTCCTCCGTGGAAAGATTAGTTAAGTTAACTCCCGAAGTAATTTGAAAAAAATCGAGGGTGGGTTTAGCTAGATTTCAATCCCGTTGTGCTAAATATTCATTAACCGTAATAACAAAAACGGTTCTCCCTAGCAGAGCGTTAAGACAAATTGGCAAAAAAGCCGTGAGCGTTTTTCCTTCGCCAGTATTCATTTGGGCGATATTACCATAATGTAAAGCTATTCCCCCAAATATTTGGGTTGGGAAAAGCAAAAGGCCAGTTTTGCGATAAATAGCTTCTCGTACCAGAGCAAAAACCGGAATTAAATATTTATCGAGGGCTTTTTCACGACTTTTTTTGGGTTCGTTGCGAACTTTTTTGCGATAGTAATTAAATTTGCTTTGTAATTGTTTATCAGTAAGTAGTTTGGTTTTTTTTCTCAAATTGACTATTTTATTTTTGAGCGAAGTAAATTTTTTTAAAGTGTTTTTTTTTCAGAAATAATAAAACATGCTGTAATATTATAGTTTT